TTTGGAATGCCTCCAGAGAGGGAGACTTCACAACATACATGAGCAGTCTGTTCCCTGGGCAGAAGATGCTCTGGCACCCTCAATGTAAAGTTCTTCCTCATGTTGAGGTGGATCTTGTGATTTTATTTGCAGATATTGCTCCTCATGCTGTCTCTGGGAACCACTGTGAAGAGGCTGGCATCATTCTCTTGACACCCACCTTTAAGATATTTATACGCACTGATGACATCCTCTCTCTGTCCTTTCTTTTCTAGATTAAACATCCCCGGCTCCCTCAGTCTTTCCTCATGAGAGAGATACTCTGGACCCCAAATCATCTCTTTGACCTCTGCTGGAGGCTCCGATTACCTCCTTGTCTTGTGCTGAGGAGCCCAGAACTGGACGCAGCACTCCAGATGTGCCTCACGAGGGCCAAGTAGAGGGACAGGATCACCTCTCTTGACCTGCTGGCCACACTCTTCCCAAAGCACCCCTGGATCCCACTGGCCCTCCTGGCCACAAGGGCTGTGCTAGCTCATGGCCAACTTGTCATCCAGCAAGGTCCCAGGTCCTTCTCTGCAGAGCTGCTCTCCAGTGGGTCACACTCCAGCCTGTGCTGGGACATGGGGTTTTTCCTCCCCAGGTGCAGAACCCTGCACTGGCCCTTGCTGAACCTCATTGGGTTTCCTCTGCCCCACTCTTCAGCCTTTAAAGATCCTGCTGAATGGCAGCTCAGCCCTCATGTGTAGCTGCCATGCCCCCCAGTTTTGTATCATCAGCATAAGATGGTACAACACAGTACTTCTTAGGCCTAGATTTATTGTACATATTTAATGATTATTCTGAAGATGAGATAATAACCAATCACTAATTAAGTTAATCAGATATAAAGAAAGCTGTTATGAAATTTTGAGTAACCTCTGTCTGATTCAAATGGGGACTGAAATAGCAGGGAAAAGTGCCAGACAACCAATTAAAAGATCTGGTGATAGAGTAGAGCAACAGAAACTTCTCATGTGGATTGTCAGATCTTAAACTAGCTATTATAACTCAGGGAAAAAAAAAATCAAAAGTTTAATGTGAACAACTCCTTTCCTAAAACACATTTGCTCAAAATACATCAATATCAGCCTCAAAAAATATTAAGAAAGGTAGTACTGGAGTTATGGCTTCTTATAACTGCCTAGAACAGCATTTTCTCACAGATTACCTACCTTAAAAACAAAGCAAAACAAAACAAACAAGCAAAACCCAAACCAAACCAAACCAACCAAACAAAAAACCAGCAATGAAAAAGAAGCAATAATAAATGAAAAATATTACAGCACTGAAAAATTTGCTCAAAAGACAAAGAGACATACTAAAAACAAAAGACAAAGCAGAAGTTTTTTTTACATAACCATTTCTCAAGAAAGACAATTCTTAGACTTTATATTCAGCTACAATCTTGTAAAGATCTCTTGGAAGTTTCTGCTGTAGTCATTGCAGAATATTAAAAGAAATGGCCCCAGTGTTTTCAATGAGACAAAGAATATGAAGAAACAGAATAACATTACAAAATGGTAAGGAGAATGTAAAATACAATACCTTCAACAGAGCATAATTAAACTGTGTTAAACATTGCTGTGAAGGGCGTCTGTAAGTCATAGTTTAAAACATTGAAAATGACAATGTATTTTTTCTGCTCACATTAACAGTACTAGGTGAAGTTAACATGAATGTGAACTCAAACTCCCAACCAGAAATAAAATCTAAGCTATTTCATCTTGCAATATTCTGAAAACAACACTGGCATGAAGTTACTGTAAGATGAGACTCTTAGTACCATATGTTGATAAGAGAATAAATCTTATTTTTTTTAGTGGGTAATTGATCAAGAGAAAGTTAAGAACACATAAAAATTTACATGTCTACACATGAAAACTGCCACCAAAAAATTCAAAATTTTCACTCTATCTTTGAAGTCCCACAAACAAGCAACAAGACATTCCAAGTTCAAGAGCCCTTGTGAGCCTGAAACATCACCTAAGTTCCAAAATCTCAGATCTGGCTTATTTTCTATGGTGCAGCTGGAATAAGTAGTATCCTGTACTACACAAGCATAACTTGGAACACTCACTTGAGTGTGAGGAATCCCATGTCCAGGCTCTCCCCACCTTGGGGCAGTGTGGACTGTTTCCCTAGACATACTACAGCCCTGCCAGAGTGAAATTGCAAATTTCATGCAGCTGGAGGAAAGGAGGGAGAGGATAGCACAGCCCAGTGGCTGGGCAACTTGGAAAGGGAGGGAAGAGCCATTGGTTTCACACAAGCAACAAGGCCCCACGTATCTGTTGGGCAGCTGTGGTGAGCACAAATCCTGATGAGTCCTTTTAAAAATCCTGCTATGAGGACCTACCTCTGGAGAAGGGCCTGGACTCCACGCCTGGAGGCACTGACTCTGGTCACCCTTTGCTAAGGGCTATTTCAAGGCTGTTTCTGCTGCGTTTGCAGGTTTCCACCCAATTCTGGCATGCACTACAGAGGGATATTGTGTGTCCCAGCTCCATGTCTTTATTGGGCCTTCCTGGGACTGACTACTGAAGACACCTGTTTCAGCCCTAAATATGACAGCAGAGAAGCACAGAGGCTGCATCCTGCCCTTTGTTCTCACCACTAAAGCATTGCTGGCCCAACAATGTAAACATGTCACAATTCTCCCACCAACTGCAGTGGGAAGTGTATTGCATCTTCTATGCTTTGATTTATTTCTCCTCTGTACCTTGCAGCTGAGAACAACAGTATTGTCCTTTGACAAGTTCCCTTACTGTAATAATACAGACACTAACAACAATGAAGGAAAGAAAAAACACTAGAAAAGAAGTACATTACTTAGACAAAATAATAAACCATAAATCGCTACAGGGACAAGATTAAATGTGAAACCTCTAATTACACATTTAATCATTTGCCAACGTCTTATTTTCTTGAAGTAATGTTCATGAAGCTTCAACATGAAGATTTGGATTTGAGACTGATTTTATGTGTGAACTGCAAAAGCAATACAAATAGAAATGGTTTAAAGACTAAAAAAAGATGTCAACTTTAATCTTCAGCTATGCTGACAACTTACTGAACACATTTATTGCTCTCAGTCACACCAGCCCTCATTTAGTGACATCACTGTGTCAAAACACATCAAGCCCATCTCTATTGCACTGATACTATACAAAATAAAGTAGAAAACTAAAGGGCAAAGAAGTGATGGCTTAAAAAGTAAGATACTCTATCAAAGCAAGAGAGTGTAATAACATTGTAGAAGACGCTGTTATTTGAGAAGTATGGACAAACCTGTGCCCCCGGGCTGCATCATCTGCTCCACTGCCTTTTCCACAAGAAGGCAAGAAGCAGCTGCTAGAGCAGAAAAGTGTCTCATCAGGATCTGAACATCTTTTTCTATGGATTTCAGAGTCCAGAAACAGAGAGCAGGGCTGGTTGTTGCTGTTTGGTTCAGAATGGCCACGGGAATTGCCTGATTTTTGTAAAAATTCTGTGCACCAAAGTTGTCTTGCCACACACTCAGAGAAGTACTTACTGAAAACAAAGTAACCCAAAGTACAACAAAAAGCAAAAATAGCAAAATTCTCCTTCTTCTAACTGGAACATAAGGCAAAGTCCAGACAACCTTTGCATTTAGACAGATGCTCTCAAAGAATGTGGAGTCAGAAAGTGCAGATTTTTGCCAAAGTCAGAATATTGCTTATATGCTAAGACATGCTTATATGCTAAGAAAAACAGCCCAGTGTACTGAACACATCTCCTAATATGAATTGTAAAGGCACAGTTGTACTGCTAGATTTTGCTTCTCCTATAAGACAGCAGTTGAAGCTGGAGCTGAAGGAAAAACCCTGGAGTGCCTTTTATTTTATTGTATCATGTTTTCGGCTTTAGTAAGTTGTTTTATGTTCCTAGCCAGGGTAGATCTTCACACAGCAAAACTGTAATTCAGCTGCTTTTTTCCTTTCTAAAAATAAATTTAGACTGGGCCTGGGTCGCAGGGAAAATAAGTTTGCTGTACTCGTGCTTTTCACCCCAGCAGAGGGTACCGTAGCACACAGGGCCTGGCCAGTGTTTAGGGTGCAGAAATGTGCAGGACCAAATACAGTGGAGAAGCATCAGCTACTCCAATGGAGGAGGGAAACATTTTTATTATGTCTTTGGTAGAGACACAAACCACCAGACAGAGAACTCGGAGGTAATCTTCGAGTCATATTTTCTTCTGTGTTTGTCTATTTCTATTTGCATCATCCTTTTGAAAAATAAGTCATCCTCTGGACATGTGGCTCTTGATTCCCTTACATTGGTTGTTGATACTTGACAGAACCCCTGACTCACTGCTGTGAACTGGAGGAAATGGTCCAGAACCTGCTACAGTTTCTGCTTCTACCACTTTTTGGAACAGGCAAAGCCAGAAAGAAAAGGGGATAATTTAATCAGATTTTGACTATTACATAAGTCTACTGCATGTCTGCTTCTCAGCTAGGTAATTTTTTTTGTAATTGTGTTTTGTAAACAATAAAAAGTTGCTTATGTGAAAAGCAGGGAACACAGACCCATATCAATAGCAATCTAAGTACAGTCAGCACTGTGCAGATGAGTTTTCCTCCTTTCTTTCCTTTTCTGAATCTCTTTATGAATCATGAGGCATTTGGACTGATTCAGTAATGGATATTTTTGTTTCACCTGCCACATTTGAAAATGGCTTTAACAGCACAGCATACATTAACCCTCTCCTTCCTATATAGAATTGCCTGCCTATTAAATCCATGTTCAGTGCTTAAACTGAAAATATAGGAGATATTTGGCTTAGTGCTTCTGAATGCATGTGAGGCACCAGTGTCAGAGTCCTGGAAACATGACACATTTTGATCTTCTTTTTCTCAACAATTATTGGATAAATAATTTCTTAGGCAATGCTTAAAGCAGGCTCACTCATTGTGTACCTGACAACACATGACTGTGATGACAGGACATTTACTCACCCTGCCAGCCAGATGATCTGTAGGTCTTGGGAGTTTTTCTCTCTTTCTCTTCTCTAGTCCACTCATGCATCAGGTTCCTTAGAGATATGTAAGCCAAGTGAATTTACTTTTCTTGCTCTGGGTGTAAGACCTGTGACAGAGAGGATAAAGAGACCAAATGTGCCATATGAAGGTACCAGAACAATAATTTCCAATCATACTCTAATTCAGGTTATTCTTACCTCCTGCCTTCCATAGTAACCAATATTGAGGAATAAAAACCCCAAGAGTTGATTTAAAAATAAGCAGCCTGGAGGAATTACTGTTTAGTAAGGGCCAGAATCTTTTACGCTGCCCTTTGTAGAGAAATAAATGTGCAAGAAAAACTTTCAATGGTTTAACTAATTCTACTGTTTAACAGATCATGTTTCAAATAGATGCATTTAGTTTGACGCATCCACTTTTACTTTCTATCTCACTGTTCAGATACTACAATGATCTGTTCTGAAATATTAATTCAATCTCACCATTCTACACATATTGTCTTCCCTGTTCCTTCTCTAAGCTATTTTTCCTACTGTTTTTCACTCCAGAATGTCCAGAGTGAAAATTATTTACTGGTTTTATGGCTATTTTTTTGAATACCTATAGACTTTCCCACTTCAAGGATGAACTGCTCAGACATAAATATATTTCAAAACTGTGACCAAGCATTTCTGTTTCCCTCTTTTCCTCCCTGTACCACCAAGTGAGCTGAGGGACACCAAAGCCATCTATGTCACTTTCCTGCTCTATTTTCTTCAAAAATACATCTAGTAAAGAGGTGGAAAAGGAGACTTTGGAACACAGGCACAGATTATATCCTCTATAACCACTGGACCAGAATAGGTCAAGGAGAGGAAAGCAAACATGCAAACCCCAATCATGCTGCACTTAAAAATATCATTATAAAAAGCTGAAATGGCTAAATGTCTAGCTTTGTAGAGCTCTCCTGAATAATTTTTCTGTTTTGTCAACTGAATAGCCAAGATACAGAAGTAACTGAGGGAGAAAGGAACCAAGAATAGGTCATTATTTAATTGCCTCATGAAGTATAAAATACAAAGGACTTTCACTAGGGGTTGCTTTGGAGGTAAAATTGGAAACACCTCTTCAGGGAGTTTTCTATTAAAGGTCATGGGTATCAGAATCTATCGTCTCACTTTAGATCAGTTATAAAGATACTATAAATAAAGTCTCCTATATGGCACATTGTCATTGATTCCCACTTCAGTGTAATCAGCACTGCAGACACAGGAAAGTCCTAAAATAAACAGCAGTAGTCTCTACTTACTGCACATAAAAAGGAGTCAGAACTTCTGTATTTATATCTGAATATCTTGTAATGAAGATATTCATTACAATAAGTAATTCATTGTAATTTAAGATATGCATCACGCTTGCTGTAGAGCAAATTATTTTATTATGATTTCAATGAACAAATCTACTATATCAAAATACATTGTAGCTATGACAACAGTAATTCATAGTTTACCACTGTCTTTAACACTAAGCAAATTAAGTAATTTTGCTGAATTCTTTCTTGATAATGAAAATGTGATAATAGTAGTGTTAGCATTTACTGTTCTTAGAACTAGGCCAGTTTCTTGACAATTTTAAATACACCAAAAAAATCTTTCTGAGATAAAAACAGACCATAAAGCTGGAAAATACAGTGTCTATTCTACTGAAGCTACTAAAGAACTCATTTTGCTCATAAATTCTGGGCAAAAAACCCTAAAAAACAAACAAAATTTTAAAAAAATCAAAATACTGTAGTAATTTTACTTATATGCAAATGAAAAATCATGCTAAAAAAATCCCTTGTGGAAATAGATTGTTTTGATATCTTCCACCTTACCCTATATATCTTGCTGAAAAAGCTTTGAGAGTATGAAGATGGGAGTAGGAAGAATGACATGAAAAATAGAAACCAAATATTTGCATCAACTTTTTTGATAGCTCCTACGGAAATGTGTCTCCTGAGACCCAAGACAGTAAAAGGGACCCAGAAAAGGAAGCTGCTTTCTGAAAAGAGCTCCCCCAGTGCACTGGGACCTCACAGGTTGCCATATGGAAAGTCATGCGGGCACAGCAGATGGATAGCACAGGATAAAGAGGTTGGGAGGTCTACTTGGGAGCAGTGCAGAACTTCCTTGTTCTGGACTGCTTGGATGAAACTGGGGAAATCAGGCCTCAGCTGGATTTGAAACTGGTGAGGAACATGAGAAACTACCAGATGAGCTTGTAGGGGAACATAAGGAAGTCTGAGAAATAGGTTGTTAGGAGAGGCTGGAAAATCTCCATCCTTGTAGATGCTCCAAATTCAGCAGAACAAGGCTGCTAGTGATGTTATCTAACCTTTTCTTGCTTAGACTAGGACATTGTTGATACCCTCCAGAGCCCTCCGGAAGTCTATTCTAACAAACAAATTGCTGTGATTCAATGACATAATGCAATTTGCCTACAGTTTTCTTCCCTGTGAATAAAAGAAGGGTGAACATAAGAAGAAACACCAGAGGGAATAAAAAGTAAAAATTTATGTCATATTTAATAATTTTCTAAAAGAAAGAATACTGAATTTGAACAACAAAAACTGAAAACAAGTAAAATTATTAGACTGTTACTAATTATGGTTTTATTTTATCTTTCAGTGTCTGTCACCTGTATGATTTTGTAAGCCATTCACCTTGTTCTGCTTTTTTCCTTTCACTGCAAGTAAGTTGCAATACATAGGACATGGACGTTCTGAGTCCAGCCTTCACAATAGGACTTGTAGGGGCCCTTCATTTAATCTGATATTTCCCTGAGCAGAAAGCTTCCACTGTACCATGGGATGGCACCAGACTGTAGGCACTATTATTTTTCCAGGTGAATGGTCCATCTGTTTTCCCTCTTTGCCTTTTCATGTTTACCCAAAAAAGTGCAAGAATTTAGCACCATATACTTTTCAAGCCTGAGTAAGCAGCTTAATTATTCAGACAGAATAGCATTGATTTGAAAGTGTCTGAACAAATGAAATTCAGGCTTGCCAACCTCATTGAGAAGGACAGCCAACCTGCTCAGGGAATTTCCAATTGTGTTACTTACAGTTCTTGTTTCTTTCTTTTATTTCAGGGTCATTTTATGCAATACAGTGCAAATTCTGGCAAAGCAATCACACAACTGCTTTTGAAATCAGAGGAGACTTTGCTAAAGTGGCAGACCTTCAGCTTGCTCTGAATTCAAGAGCACTCAAAGACAATACATGAATCAGGGAAGTTGACAGCTGACAGTGATAAAAAAATAAAATAGTAGACTCAATTCAGCACCCACTAAAATGAATGGGACAATTACATCTGTAATGAGCTACCCTTCAACATGAAGTAAATATCACACTCTATTGTTGACTCCTTCTTGAACAATAAATTCAAGTCTCCTTAATGTAATTTATGTCATTCCACAGGCTCATTTTTAATAAGCCATGCTTTGTTTTCTTCAGTATTTCCAAGGGTACGAATTTAGGCAATGGACAATCATCTTCCACAGTAATAACTTTTATCACAGCAGTCATGCTACAAAATAGAGACTCTATTATACTCCATTTACTAAATGTAGATAGGAATCAACTTCTTGGGCTATAAATGGACAGTATTACTCATTATGTTATTTGCTATAATAGTTGAACACCAATGAGTTGCAGATCCAACAAATATCCAAAAATGGCTGTGCAAAAAGCCCTTAAATTATGTTCTTGACAGATAATAACCAGTGCTGTACACCCCTACTTTTTTATGTTATGAACAATATGTACACTATATTTATGCAGGAGAAACCAGTATTTAAAACCCTTACATTGATCATAAAAATAGATTTTATTACAGAAAACAGTGTCTTGCCATAAGAGATTTACAACTGATTAAAAAGGATGGCTTGTCCTAAAACACTTACATGATTGCATGCAAAGAAAACAGATGGTCTGTGTAACAGTAATTTGATTTCTTCCAGTAAACATTACTCATGATACAGAAAATGCTTATGCTGATCTACTCCAGAGTGATGTGTTCACTTTGCCTCTCTCTTTAAAAGAAGCCTGTAATTCTGTTGAAGAAAGAGCACTGCAGCTCTGGTTTCCCAACAAATCAAATAAAATCAGGTTGTCTAATGCATCATTCCTCACTTAAGAGACTGACAACACAAAGATTAATTTTAACTTTTCACTCTTCCAAAAGTGCTTAACATAATGCTATGCTCCCTACTCATTTAATCCTTTTTGTAACACTTCAGAACAAAGAACAGAATACTATTTCTACCTTCATCGCTGAGAATAAGCCAAAATTCAATGTTTATTCTCTTCTGCTGCATCTAACATTCTTCTCCTTTATATAACTGTAGGTATACAGGAAGGAGGGAAAAGTCTTGCTGGTAAGGCTTCATCTGTCTACCTCAAATTTTGTTCTACCTTTTGAGTCACACCAAGAATGCTGCTTAGGAAAATTCAGCATCCACATTTCTCCTACTCAAGCTTTCTTCTTCCCAAACACTGATTGAAAATCTACTTGCCTTTGTAAGGCAGACAGCCCTCATGGGGTTGTTTAAATCACTAAAGTTCTTGGAAACCAAACCATGAATAGGAATTCTGTCACTTTTTCACACAGAATAATGGTCTAGGGTGATATAGGGTTCATGTTGCCTTTTACAGATCTTTTTTTGCATGAGATGAATACCGGCAGATCTTTCTCAAAGGCACAAATTTAACCCCTAAAAATGCATCCTTATATATTTTCCTGTATTTCACAGGGACTTCACACCTGAGTATGTTTTGTCATCTGCAAGTAATACATAATAATACATAATAATACATAATAATACATAATAATTCCTGCTGGAATGTAAACCTATGTGTCATTATCTTGTCTTTTTTCATTACTGTTGCTTCACCTGACTGGCCTGGACTTATCCCATCCAAATGAAGTAAGGGCACAATCCTATTAAATACCTGCTGGGAACACCCTAAGCTGCCGCTCTTGTCAGTGGGAATTAAAGGTTCTCGGCACATTGTAACAGGTACTCAGACCCTTGAGAAATTGGACCCTTAATTAGATATTCCCTCATGACATTGTGTGATTATTT